GAAGGAGATAAAATAAATATTGATGAAGATTAAGAATTTTGCGTTTTATTTAAAATTTCCGGAAACTTTTCGGTCACAAAGATGTGTTTTTTTAATTGAAATACTGATGCATAAGTAAACGCTATAGAATTAAGTAAAGAGTAAAAAGTGCATATTTTGAACTTTTCTCTGTAAATGGTTTTAAAATAAAACATAAGACATGATGCTTCCTGTGTGGAAACCACAATTGAATCGAATTGAAATCATCGAATTAATTAATGTCCTTACATTTAATTAACAATGTTTCTTCGGTGTTTTCGACAAGTGCGTTAGCATTTTCATTTAGACAAAAACTCATTCTAATCTAGTTTACAACCCAAGCTGCAAATTTCATATGTGGTAAATGATTATTTAGCTTAAATTCTTGGATCAATTCAATTTTATAAACTGTGAAGTATCGATTTTCATAAGTAATCTTCCATATGTCTTTTTTCTTCTTCTTAGTTGGTCATTACACACGTGTGTCGTCCTTGGCCGCGTCGAGTAGCCTCCGCCAGTCAGCTCGATTAGTTGCTTTCTGACGCCAGTTGGTAGTAACGAGCGCCCCCAAATCGTTGGTCACCTGATCCTTCCACCGAAGATGCGGACGTCCTCTACCGCGTTTTCCACCTGCGGGTACCGAATCAAATACCTTTCTAGCCGGAGCACTTCCGTATGTTGCTATAAGAATATTCACGTTGTTGAGAACTACGTCCAATTTAAGAGTATTAATTTTATCTATGCTTTGGTTAATATCATCGACTGTATATACGCATGATGGATTATGATATTATAGTATTAGTAATATTATAATAGCTATCACCTGATTTGATTTTTTTTTATTTTAATGCAAATAGTATTATCTGTAGGTCATCTATGTTGACACACTTTTCAGTCACATTTATTTTAATACTAACGAGATTTTTACCAGACTTTGGCTATATACTCCAAGCAATGTGCAAATCGTAGTCCAATCGTAGTCCAAGCAATTAAAAATATATTTCCCATAGAACAAACCCAATATTTTTGTATTAAAATTTTTGGTAAAATTT